TTAATTTAAACATCTGATTAATTTTAAACGCACCTTTAATTAGAAAAAAACTTGGAAAAATCACTTGACTAACTTCTGCTCTCTAGCCGACAATGATTGAAAGTGAACGATAAATTAATTTTAAAGACCTCTCGACCCCTCAAATTCTCCGAATCATCATGTTTGACACATACCACGATTCATTGAATCATTTTGGACAAGTTGACCTATTGGCCATCTATTGATTCAACCATGAACTAAAAAAAACCTATTGCATTGGAAACGGTAATTATATTCAAATTTTTAAAATGCTATAACATTATAGCAAGCGATGGATTGGATTTTTAGAATCGAAAAGGGATTTTTGAATGTTTATCTTAAATTGGGAAAAGTTCTAAACAAAAGAAATGCTTTATTTACAAAATAATATAAAAATATATTACGAACTAACGGAGAACGTTACACAGCCTGCATGCCGTATCGAACGACAACGGCCAACGATGCGTGAACTTTGCAGCCTCCCGGGGTATGGTTCGAAGTACCTTTTTCCCCCGCAAAGATATCCACAAAGCCACCTGGAGATCACCTGACCAACACACAGAAAACCAAATCGATCACGTTCTAATCGACGGGAAATTCTTCTCCGACATTATCAACGTCCGCACGTACCGCAGTGCGAACATAGATTCGGACCACTACCTAGTTGCAGTATGCATGCGCTCAAAACTCTCGACGGTGCATAACACACGTCGAAGTCGAACGCCGCGACCCAACATTGAGCAACTACGGGACGCCGGAGTTGCCCAGGACTACGCGCAGCAGCTGGAAGTTGCACTACCCACGGAAGAGCAGCTTGGCGCAGCTTCTCTTGAAGATGGCTGGATGGACATCCGTTCAGCCATAGGTAGTACTGCTGCAGCGGCACTAGGTGCTGCAATCCCGGACCGAAGAAATGACTGGTTTGACGGCAAATGCAAACTGTTAGCAGAAGAGAAGAATGCAGCACGAGCGAGAATGCTGCAACACCACACGAGATTGAATGTGGAGCGATACAGACAAGCGTGGAACAGACAAAACTCGGTTTTCCGAAGGAAGAAGCGTCAGCAGGAAGACCGAGATCGCGAGGCGATGGAAAATCTGTACCGCGTAAACGACACACGGAAGTTCTACGAGAAGCTAAATAGTTCGCGCAAAGGCTACGTGCCGCAAGCCGATACGTGCAAGGACTTGGACGGTAACCTTCTCACGAACGAGTGTGAGGTGATTGAGAGGTGGAAGCAGTACTATGACGAGCACCTCAACGGTGAAGCAGCAGAAAACGAAGGTGGCACGGCAACAGACCTTGGAGCACACGCAGAAGACGACAGGCTACCGGCCCCTGATCTTCAAGAAGTTGAGGAGGAGATCGGTCGGCTGAAGAACAACAAAGCAACTGGTGTAGATCAACTACCAAGTGAGCTATTGAAATACGGTGGTGAAGCACTGGCTAGAGCGCTGCACTGGGTAATTGCCAAGATTTGGGAGGAGGAGATATTACCGGAGGAGTGGATGGAAGGTGTCGTATGCCCAATCTACAAAAAGGGCGACAAGTTGGATTGCTGCAACTACCGCGCGATCACACTGCTGAGCGCCGCCTACAAGGTACTCTCCCAAATTCTATGCCGCCGTCTGTCACCATATGCAAGAGAGTTCGTGGGGCAATACCAGGCGGGATTCATGGGTGCCCGCGCTACCACGGACCAAATTTTCGCGATTCGGCAGGTTCTGTAGAAATGCCGCGAATACAACGTGCGTACACATCATTTGTTCATCGATTTCAAATCCGCATACGACACAATCGATCGAGATCAGCTATGGCAGATTATGCACGAGTACGGATTTCCGGATAAACTGACGCGATTGGTCAAGGCGACGATGGATCGAGTGATGTGCGTTGTTCGAGTATCGGGGACACTCTCGAGTCCCTTTGAATCTCGAAGGGGGTTACGGCAGGGTGATGGACTTTCGTGTCTGCTGTTCAACATCGCGTTAAAAGGTGTGATCAGAAGAGCTGGGATAGACACGAGTGGCACGATATTCAGGAAGTCCATCCAGCTCCTTGGCTTCGCCGATGACATTGACATTATGGCACGGAACTTTGAGATGATGGCGGAAACGTACATCAGACTGCAGGCTGAAGCTAGACGGATTGGACTTGCCATCAACGCATCGAAGACAAAATACATGAAAGGAAGAGGTTCTAGGGAAGACAATGTTAGCCTCCCACCCCGAGTTCAGATTGACGGTGACGAAATCGAGGTGGTCGATGAGGTCGTGTATTTGTGCTCACTGGTGACCGCCCAAAATGATACCAGCAGAGAAATTCAAAGACGCATTATGGCAGGGAATCGTGCCTACTTTGGACTCCGCAGGACGCTCCGGTCGAATAAAATTCGCCGCCGCACGAAGTTGACTGTCTACAAGACGCTGATTAGACCGGTGGTCCTTTACGGCCACGAGACCTGGACTATGCTCGTGGAGGACCAACGCGCCCTTGGTGTTTTCGAACGGAAGGTGTTGCGTACCATCTACGGTGGAGTGCACATGGATGATGAAACGTGGAGGAGGCGAATGAACCACGAATTACACCAGCTGCTGGGAGAACCATCCATCGTCCACATCGCAAAAACTGGGCGACTACGGTTGGCTGAGCACGTCGTAAGAATGCCGCACGACGACCCAGTGACAATGGTTCTAGAAAGCGACCCAACAGGAACAAGAAGAAGAGGCGCGCAGCGGGCAAGGTGGATCGACCAAGTAGAAGGTGACCTGCGGACCCTTCGCAGACTACGCTGGCTGGCGAACTGTGGCCATGGATCGAGTAGAGTGGAGACGACTTCTTCGGACAGCAGAGGACAACAAGGCCTTAGCCTGATTGGTAAGGTAAGGTAATGAACAAAGATGAAGAGCCAGATAGGTTAATCAATTGAAATGTAAAATCAATGTATACATAATAATCAACAGAAATAAACGAAATTTTACTACTACTACTACTGCCTTTGCTCATTACCGCTTCGGACGGCGTGGCACTAGGTCCTGCAGCAAGCAGGACCAAGTCAGCGACTAAAGATGGATCACGGCGTGACCATGGTCACCACAATGAGGAATGAGACTTGGAAAATTATGCATGTAAAACCCCCTCCCCCCTTAACAACAACCCGAAAAAACATGGACTTCGACGATCATTTTTTTCCGAGAAATAAATTTTAAGTAAACCACAATTACAGGCTGTTCATTAACTACGTAGATATTTCTTTGGGATTCTTGACCCCATGGGCTGTTGCCAAACCCCCCCCCCCCTTAAACTTTGTCTATGTAGTTTATGAACAGCCCCTTATAAGTAAAAACAATTTTTTACACGCAGAGCCAAAATTTTCTAAAAAAATTGCTTAAGAGGAGACTTATAGTACGTTCCGACTACAGAGTTATAACACGTTATAGCGCTATCTTGATGGTGATTTCTGTGCTGCAATTAGTTGACAACCGTTATAACATGTTATAAATCTCCAGTCTGGACAGCGTTTCAGACTACAGAGTTATAACATGTTATAGCGCCAGCTTGATGGTTGTTTCTGTGTTGCAATTATTTGACAACCGTTATAACATGTTATAACTCTCCAGTCTGTACAGCGTTTTATATTCGATGAATTACCAGCAACTGCAACGTCATACTGCGGTTGTATCTAGGACACGACCCTTGATTTTTTTTTAAACAATGATAAACATTAACAGATGCGTAGGAATATTTCTGATCGATTGATGATAAAGTTATTGAAATTGGTCCAGGCTCAGCGGAGTAATTGACGTTCAAAATCTGTCATAATTTTGTTACATGTTCCATTTTCGGTTTTTACAAAGTGTACCCCCATATAGAAATCACAGACCTACGTCAAAATCTACCGTGTCCGAGAAGCAGTACAGGAGAAATACTGCTCACACCTGAAGACGATTCTGGAATGTGCGTTTGATTAGTATTGTCGCATTAATGGCCCTTCGCTCAATTTCAACTTTTGTTCAATTTTAACACTGCCGTACTCTAGTGGAACTATCAATCTATCCTCTTTAGAACTTTCTCTAGCTAATAAATTATTGCACTTAAGTTTCATGTTGATATAAGTATATCATTTATTTCCAACTCTGAAAATCATAAACTTCACGTACAACATACTTTAATTGAATGCTCTGTCATGTTAGTGATCAATTTTAACCCTTATGTGCGTGAAGAATTTTTTGCTTTTTTCTACACCGTGTTATTCAAATGATAGCTGGGTTCCTTGAAATAACCAATATGTTGGACGCACAAAAATGTACCATACAAACTAAGTAGGTAGATACTGAAATTCTGATTTTGTTTCGTTATCGAATTAAAAAGCTCGTAAATTTGGCCTACCTTGTTTGTACTGGTGCCTATGGTCTGTCGATCTATCTATCTATTGACATGCATGACACATCTTTAAATTTTAAAACAATACATTTGAAGCAAGAAAACCAAGCCTAGTCACCGTTTCTTCATGCGATGCGACGATTTCAATTACAGATAAGAATGTTCATCAATTCATAATTCTGGTAAAACGGTAACGATAACGGCAACGACTTAATTAGAAAATCAAATCAAATTCTCGTCATGCATGTTGGTTGGTTAGCCAACCGAGCTAATCAATATTCTACCAAGAAACAATCCATCAATGTAGGTCACAATTTGAATGTTGTTCCTGCCTTCTACTTGCTAGCGGAAGCTGCTCAAAACTCGGCACGTGCCCGTCCCCCAAGAACACACATGTTGCTGCTCCAATCAAACCCCCCTTATTCTGCGCCGCAAGTGAGGTGAAGTGACTCGCTGTCACTTTCAAGGTGACAAAAGTCACCGCGAGTGAAGTGATTCTCCGTGAAAATCAAATGGAGAGTCACCTCACTCGCGGCGCGGAATACACCTCAAACATACTCTAATACTGATACCCCTGATTTGCTCTTCCCTTCTACAGATAACAATGGACGAAAATTCCGCCCTCCTCGAGCGGGCCACCGGTCTAATCAAGTGCTGCAAACTGCCCCGTCTAACCCGTAGCATCGACGAAGCACAGCTCAAACCGGAATCCTTCCGGGAGTTCGTGTGCATCCTGAACGAGACCCTGCCGAAAGTGTTCGATTCACTGTCGCAGTACGAAAACCAACTGCTCGGTCACGATGAATTCAATCCGGACAATTTGGAATTCCGAACGAATTTGGTGCTGGTCACGTTGGAACAGGTGTACATTCCGGGGGAATTGTACGATTTCCAAACCGAGAACCGGTCCTATCGAGACCGCTTGGCTGAGATGTACCAGAATGGTCAGTTGGAGCGAGCTATCACCGGCGAAGGCAGCGAACGGTTGCTGACGCTAGTTTGGGAGCACTATCAGCGGGTTCTCAAGGCGAAGGAATGGATGTACCATCCGGGGGACGTTGTTGGCTTCGTTAGGATTTGCGAATTTCTGTATGGAAACATGTTGGTGGACGCAAGCACCCTATCGCAAGCGAAAGCTTCCTTCATCCTGTCGGTTGGAATCTCCTTAGTTGAGTTCCATGATCCGGAATACGAAATACTCGGATTGCGACTGTTCAATGTACTGCTGAGCGGGCAGCACCGAACGATGCTGCGTGAGAGTAACATCCATGAGGTTGTGTTCCAAAATGCTTTCCGGTTGAAAGCCAAAGCCAAGAGCGAGCGATTCCTGAGGGAGCTGTGGACCTGTCTGTTTCAGTACGTTGATCTGACGGCTTCGGGGCAGACGGATTTCAGTGAGTGGTCCATTCTGGACGACATCGTCGAAGCACTGCTGGAAACACTGGCCTTCGAATCGAACCTCGTTCTTTCGTCCATACTGTTGACGTACCTGTTGAAACTGCTTTCGCTGGATCTACCCAATCTCGTAATTGACGATCTGGACGACGTCCAGGCGTTGGATAGCAAATGCCATCTATACGAACCGGTCCTCGAACAGCTTAGGAAGCACTGTGCCCTGGAGTTTCGGAATCGTCGATTCTACCGCTGGCATAAGCGATTGGTCTCGATGCTACCGTTCGAGCTGGAAAAAGCTTGCGGAACAAGTCGGGAATGTGGAAAGTATATGCACGTAAGTGGCTTCGGCTTTCTAGTAGTTAGCAGTAGTCTGATAACCCATTCTCCATTTCAGGGCGTTAATGTGCTGTTCGTGCTGGCGGTTTTCCCCATCGAATCGGAAGCCATTAACAACGCACCGGATATTCAGTCGAGCCTTCTGGATTTCATGATCGTTTTCAAACGACACATGCGGGACCAGTACGGGCGGATTCAATCGCTCACCGGGAAGTGCGATTTCCTGCATTCCTTGAAGGTAATTTCTCTAAATCGTAGGGTAATCCGATCGGTTAATTAATTCGATTGATTGCAGGCATCGGTATCGTGTGACAAATCGGTTGCCGTGTTCAGCAGAAGCGTCGCCCGAAGCTACTTCCCCGATGATCGGACCGCGTTTTGGAAGGTGATCGGAATGGATTCGGACGAGTCCTACCAGGAGGATAGGATTTTCTACGAGTGTCTAAAAGAATTGCAAACGAGAATGTAGGTTTTTGTTTTGTTCACGAAGCAGCCATTTGTCTTGTATTGTTTTATTTAAAAGATTCGAAATCCATGTCTGATAGAGCATCCCACCAGCTATGTTTGTTCAGTGATGAATTGCACATTCTGTTGGATTGATGCGTTGGTTGAGGAATCTTTGCTGAATCACGTTTCAAATTGTTTATCGCTTGTTAGCACCTTGCGGCACACGTGTTAGGTAGATGTTGCATGACGTGCAAGATTGAAACTGCATTCCTATCGATAGTAGCGATAGCGATTCAGTGGGGTTATTTCCGAGGGATGCCAAACTCAATAGGAAATGAAGATCTTTTCGTTCTATTTTTGCGGTTATAAAGCAATGGTCGCCTGGTTCCTCAAAAATTAAAGTTTGTTTTTAATTGTATAAAGCCAGATGAAAACATGTCTTCCTTTGCTAGATAGTATTTTATGTTACTGGTCTTATTTGTATTTTTTTCGGCATTAATTTTAAATGTTAACACAATGTACCCCATGAAAGCAAATCGATGTGGTGGCGGGGGGGGGGGGGACACACACCCCTCCCCATCCCTCTCCAAAGGGGGAGTTTGGTAAAGAGAGATGAAAAAACCGATTTGTACCTTCCTTAAAAGTTGTCCTAGCTCGCTTGTCTAATATCTATATACAATCTTCACACTGCCGTACTCTAACGGAACTATCAACTCTTTCATCTACTCCATCTATCGTATAAAAATTACCACTACAGTCTGTTATTTGAAATTAGCATCTTCAACTATGTAAATCGATGTTAAAGTTTGCAGTTCCTATCATTTTGATTTAAATTATCGCGACAAAAGTCCCTCCCCTTGGCTAGTTTTTGCATCTTGCTGTTGGTGGGCGCTTTGTTTGAGAGCCGCGTCGTAGTACAGTCAAGATTCCTATAGTACGGATTCGTTCTTGCCGGATTCCTATAGTACGGTTACCCCCTGGATTCCTATAGTGCGGTCGATCCGGCATTAACGAATACACGTAGCATATGGGATTTGACCTAATTGGGACCAAACACTGATTGTAGGGTAATTTGAAGAGATAACTTCCTGGTGTCTTCTGAACAGTTATTAAACAGAATATTTGCCACCTTTTGGGAACATTTAGCATCCGGAAAGTCACAAGTCTGGTCCTGTGGAAGACCCGGAACATCCGTAAAAGTGGTCAATTCATGAAACTAATCCTAGAGCTCCGCGGTTTTTTCGAAACCGCTCATAGACGTTTTATCAGAATGAATTCGGAGTTGTGACCTGAATATGAACCCAGAGGACCACGGGATGGTCCACCGGAAGATCCGGAACATCCGTAAAAGTGGTCAATTCATGAATCTGATCCTAGAGCTCCGCGGTTTTTTCGAAACCACTCCTAGACATCTTATCAGAATGAATTCGGAGTTGTGACTGGAATATGGACACTGGAGACCACGGGATGGTCCACCGGAAGATCCGGAACATCCGTAAAAGTGGTCAATTCATGAATCTGGTCCTAGAGCTCAGCAGGTTTTTCGAAATCCCTCCTAGACGTCTTATCAGAATGAATTTGAAATTGTGAGTGGAATATGGACACTGGAGACCACGGGATGGTCCACCGGAAGATCCGGAACATCCGTAAAAGTGGTCAATTCATGCAATTTATCCTAGAGCTCCGTGGTTTTTTCGAAACCTCTCTTAGACGTCTTATCAGAATGAATTTGAAGTTGTGACCAGAATATAGACTCTACGGACTACGGGATGGTCCTCCGAAAGATCCGGAGCATCCGTAAAAGTGGTCATATCATGAAACAGATCCTAGAGCTCCGTGGTTTTTTCGAAACCGCTCATAGACGTTTTATCAGAATGAATTCGGAGTTGTGACCTGAATATAAACCCAGAGGACCACGGGATGGTCCACCGGAAGATCCGGAACATCCGTAAAAGTGGTCAATTCATGAATCTGATCCTAGAGCTCCGCGGTTTTTTCGAAACCACTCCTAGACATCTTATCAGAATGAATTCGGAGTTGTGACTGGAATATGGACACTGGAGACCACGGGATGGTCCACCGGAAGATCCGGAACATCCGTAAAAGTGGTCAATTCATGAATCTGGTCCTAGAGCTCAGCAGGTTTTTCGAAATCCCTCCTAGACGTCTTATCAGAATGAATTTGAAATTGTGAGTGGAATATGGACACTGGAGACCACGGGATGGTCCACCGGAAGATCCGGAACATCCGTAAAAGTGGTCAATTCATGCAATTTATCCTAGAGCTCCGTGGTTTTTTCGAAACCTCTCTTAGACGTCTTATCAGAATGAATTTGAAGTTGTGACCAGAATATAGACTCTACGGACTACGGGATGGTCCTCCGAAAGATCCGGAGCATCCGTAAAAGTGGTCATATCATGAAACAGATCCTAGAGCTCCGTGGTTTTTTCGAAACCTCTCGTAGACGTCTTATCAGAATGAATTTGGAGTTGTTACTGGAATATACACTCCGCGGACTACGGGATGGTCCTCCGGAACATCCGGAACATCCGTAAAAGTGGTCAATTTATTAAATTGATCCTAGAACTCCACGGTTTTTTTCAAAACCGCTCGTAGACGTCTTATCAGAATGAATTTGGAATTGTTACTGGAATATACACTCCGAGGAATACGGGATGGCTCACCAGAAGATCCGGAACATCCGTAAAAGTGGTCAATTCATGCAACTGATCCTCCGTGATTTTTTCGAAACCTCTCGTAGACGTCTTATCAGAATGAATTTGGAGTTGTAACCAGAATACAGACTCTGAGGACTACATGATGGTCCTCCGAAAGATTCGGAACATCCGTAAAAGTGGTCAATTCATGAAACAGATTCTAGAGCTCCGCGGTTTTTTGAAAGCACTCATAGACATCTTATTACAATGAATTAAGATTTGTGACCTGAAAATGGACGCTAGGGACTACGGGATGGTTCACTAAAAGATCCGGAACGTCCGTAAAAGTGGTCAATTCATGAAACTAATCCTAGAACTTCTCGGTTTTTGCGAAACAACTTATAGACATCTTATCAGAATGAATTCGGCGTTGTGACCTGAATATGGCCTCTGTGGACCATGGGATGGTTAACCGGAAGATCCGGAACATCCGTAAAAGTGATCAATTCATGAAATTGATCCCAGAACTCCGCGGTTTTTTCGAAACAACTTATAGACATCTCTACAGAATGAATTCGGAGTTGTGACCTGAATATGGATACTGGGGACCACGGGATGGTTCACTGGAAGATCCGGAACATCTGTTAAAGTTGTCAATTCATGAAACCGATCCTAGAACTCCGTGGTTTTGTCGAAACCACTTATAGGCGTCTTATCAGAATGAATTCAGAGTTTTGAATGGAATATGGACTCTGGGGACTATGCTATGGTCTTCCGGAAGATCCGGAACATCCGTAAAAGTGGTCAATTCACGAAACAGATTCTAGAGCTCCGCGCTTAATTCGAACCCACTCATAGACTGGTCCATAATTGAAATTGATCCTAGAGCTCCACGGTTTTTTCGAAACCACTCATAGACGTCTTATCAATATGAATTAGGAGTTGTGACCAGAAAATGGATGCTGGGGGTCACGGGATGGTTTACTAAAAGATCCGGAACATCCGAAAAGTGATCGATTCATGAAACCAATCCTAGAACTCCGTGGTGTATTTGAAACCAGTCATAAACATCGTATCAGAATGAAATCGGAGTTGTGTTTGGAATATGGACTCTGGAGACTACGGGATGGTCCTTTGGAAGATCCTGAACATCCGTAAAAGTGGTCAATGCTTGAAAATGTCCTAGAGCTCTGCGGTTTTTTTTTTTTCGAAACCCTTAATTCAGAGTTGTGACCAGTAAATGGACGTAAAGTATACCATAGTACAATCTGTTAAATATGTTTACTATTTCAATTGCTAAAAAAAAATATCAAATTCTCCAAAAAGTGCACAATCCAATGGTCTGTTCAATATTTAGATGGTTATAAGTAGTATGGGTTCCCTTCACCTTTCTAAGTAGATGATTGATAAACTTTACATCCGATCCCTTGTGATTGTAAAGATTGTGGCCGTGTGTATAGTGCGATCTTGTATTTTGTTATTCAAAAATCAAAAAATATGTGCAATAATTTAGAATCTCGTTTCTAGCGTGTACAATTGGTTTAAAAATTCGACAAAATTGGTAACGTGGACACTAAAAGAAGGTACCGTAAAATGTAGGTAACTTTGAAAGAATTGATTTAAATTTGCCTTCTGCACTATTTACCAATTGGAAACATTAGTTCTATTTTGTAGCTTACGGTATAACCTTTGATATGCTATGGAGTTTTTGTATAGTTTGTGTAACATGTTTTACAAATATGTGAATTTTTTTAATGTTTTTCATTTGTTTTAAAAGACACTCAAACACTCACTTATTAAATGTAACTCTGATGTGGCCATCACAAATTCAATGTTGTCTTCTTATTGTTTGTGATGTTTCTGATTATGTATTAATTTAAAGTTTCATATTTATTCAACTAAATTGTTTGAGTTTTCTGCTTGTTTTCTCTACATTAATCGAGTATTATAAAAACAAAAAACTGATGTTGATGTCACAAGACAAAAAAAAATATGTTGCAAAAGCAATAATTTCTGTTACACATATTACTAATGAATTGACTCTAGGATACACAGAACTTGTTTATAAAAAAATTACATTTGCAAAAAAATCCATGGTTGTAAAATATGCTTAAAAAATACTATAAAAAAATGCCCAAACTAAAATTGCCCGGTTTTACGGTACCCATGTTTTTGGGCAATACATGCAAAAACCAAGATACCCAAAAACTCTACTTGTTCTATGGGAAAGAACCCATCTCTTCAAAAAGTGAACATAAAAATAATGGAAGTTGTTTATAGGTTATTTTCGATGCAAGCTTTGACTAAAATTAGGTACCTCATGTTAAGCGTGCACATGCAAAAACTGAGGCAATAAAAAATCTGTGTTTTGTATGAGGAATACCTCA